CTTATTGTAAAGTTTTTCCTGATGCCCAACCTAAATCTGCTCTCCATCAGTGTGTGGCCATTGTTCCTTGTTATTCCAAAGGGCACCCTGGTAAACAGAGCATCTCCTATTTCTTGCTGCCACCCCCAGCTCCCCGGATGAATTTGTATGCAGCCACAAGATCACTTCTCAACCTTCTCTTGCAGAGGGTGAAGAGATCCAGGTCCCTCAATCCCTTCTCGTAGAGCTTTGCCTGCAGGCCCCCAACCATATGAGTGATTCTCCTCTGAACCCTCTTGAGGTTGTCCACATCCCTCTTGAAGTGTGGTGCCCAAAACTGGATGCAGTACTCCAACTGACCAAGGCCGAATAGAGGGGAAGTATCACGTCCCTGGACCTGTTTGTCATGCACCTGCTAGTGCATGATAAAGTGTGGTTACCTTTACTGATCGCTTCGTCATATTGATGATTCATGTTCATCTTGGTGTCAGCAACGACTCTGAGATCCCTTTCTGCTGCTGTGCTGCTGAGAAGGCCCTCCCCCAGCCTGTAAGCATGCTGGTGATTCCTTCTCGCTAAGTGCAGGACCTTGCACTTGTCCTTGTTGAATTGCATCCTATTCTATTCCGCCCACTTTTCCAACCTGTCCAGATCTGCCCGGATTCATTCCCTACCCTCTAGTGTGTTAACTTTACCCCATAATTTGGTATCATTTGCGAATTTGGACAGAGTGCTTTCCACTCCCTCATCTAAGTCACTGATGAAAACATTGAACAGCACAGGTCCAAGGACCAAGCCTTGTGGGACTCTACTGCCCACATCTTTCCAAGTCAACACCGACCCATCCACCGCCACCTTCTGGGTGTGACACCTAAGTCAATTTGCCACCCACCAGACCTGCAAAGATTAAATTAATTCAGACTCAAGCTTTTTGAATGTCTGCCCCTAGCCAAGGTGCCTCAACATGGGGATAGCTGGCAGGCAGCCCCCATACTGAGGCACACTGCACCTCAGCCAGCTGCGAAGCAGCATGTGAAGACATGAAAGCAGCCAAGTCGGGGGTGGCTGCTCCCCCATCTCTACATGCTGGGGCACATGGAAATGGGAAGCAGCAAGCTGCAGAGAGGCTGGCTGGGGCACAGGTTGCCTCAGCATGGGGGACTGTCTGCTGGCTAGCCCTGCGCAGAGGCACTCTGTTCCCCATCCAGCCAGGGCAGCGTGTACACGTGTGCTGCTGCGCATGAAAAAACTCCATAGTGGGGTAGTACATGTATTTTACAAGACTACCCTGCTGCCATGTTTATTAATTTCATTTGCCTTAGTAGGAGAGCATGCGTAGATGCTGGGACATGTACTGCGCAGTTAATTGGTCAACTGCACAGTAAAAATCTCGTGTGGATGCACGCACTGTTTATATTAAGTGCCAGTAAGTGCATACCCAAAGTAAATGCGTAGCTTTTTTCCAGTCCTAAGGCTATGTACTTATATGGAGTGCCCTGTAAATAGGCCTTCAGCCCCTGAATCGCTCTGCAGCACAAGCCCTTCAGGGTCAGTAATGAAATGGGTTTGGGGGAGGGAGGTTTTATCCAGGGTTTTAGTCTGTCCCCATCATTTGCTGAACCCTTCCCGTGAAAGCTGGCTCACTCTGGATAAAACTGGGCAAATCCCAGCTTTGCTATTGTTTCACTGTGGAACATCTGACTATAAGTGACTTTTTGAACCAGTCAGTAAATTCAGAATACACCTGCTAAAGCGTTTGCCTTTGCCCACTGGTCTGATTCTGTACCTTGCCCCTTTGAATTCCTTCACTGGCTGCCCAGCCACTGTTCCATCAGATTGAAGCTGCTGGTTGCCACTGTCTGTGTAACTCTGCCTTGCATAATTATTTTCTCTTATTTAGCTTCACACCTTTTTGCTTCACTACTGTCCCCACTTTTGTCAACCTGTTGGCCTGATCCTTACATAATAATCTCCATGCCTTTTCCTGCATGGTCCCTTGTATGTGATATAATCTCTCTGAGCATCTCAGTGAAGGCCCTACCTGTTCATGCTCAAACCCCTCTAACAATCCCACCGTTGTCATGGTACCTGTAGTGGATCCTATTGATTTGTGTAGATACATCGCTGTCTGGTTTTTTTCCCTAGTATCTTAATCACTAGTCTGTGTCTGGGCTACAAGCTCCTGTGCTCAGGGACCATTTCTTCTTGAACATCCAGAGAGTGGTCTGCACATCATGAACACTGCCTTTAATGTATAATAATGCTCACTTAAATGGTCAGAGTGATTGTGAGCAGGTCTCTTCAGTTCCCCTGTCTCAGTTTTCCCATCTCTTAAAAGTGGAGGCTTACCTTTGTCGTTGCAAGCTTAGCTGCATGTTTGGTTTGAGGAAGGAAAGCTCTATGCAGCTTCCTTCTGTATTATTTTAACAAGGTCACAAGTGCTAGGGAGCCACACAGTGGCTTCTTTTCAGGTTTGCTAATAGCTTCACGGCAGCAATTGGAACCACACAGCAGGGCCGTCATAGTATAATGTCTGCCCTCAGCACCAATTCAGTCTCAGCTGCACCGTTGTATACAGTTCTGGGCCCTGCATGTTAGGAAGAAGATGGAGAAACTGGAGAGGATCCAGAGGCAAGTGACAAAGATGACCAAGGAGTGGGAGAATGAGCCATCTGAGGAAATGGGGGAAGAACCAGGTGTGTTTGGTCTGGAGGGAAAGAGAGAAAGGAGTTACATGTTAGCAGTTCTCAGATGCTTGAGGAGCTGCCATAAGAAAGAGGAAGGACAACTGATCTCTCTTGGCACAGAGGACAGGGCATGAAATGATTAGTTTAAACCTCAAGAAAGCAGATTTAAATCAAATCTCAAGACAATGGAGCAAGCTGCCCAGGGAAGTTGTGGGATCTCCTTTGCTGGAGAAGTTCAAGAAGAGACAGGATATGGTGCTTGTCTGGGATAATTTAGGAATAGCAAACCCTACATCTGTGCAAGGGGTTGGACTAGTTGACTCTGGACTCTGATTTGAGGACAGGGACTGCCTACTCTGCTTGCATAGTTGCTGCTCAGTGGAGCTCTGTTTTTGGTTGCTCCCTACACACAACCATAATAATCATGATGGATGGTAACAGAATTCAGATCCTGCAGCTCCCAAGCATGAGGCTCAATCACAAGCCAAAGACAAATCTCTTTACACCAGTGGCTGGCAACCTTTACAAGCTGGGGGCCAGAACAACCCAGCTCTGGTCCTGGGCTGGGCAGCTTCTGCGACACATCAGTTGTTGGAGGGTTTTCCCACTGGGTCCAGGCCACTGCAAGCTGCACCCCTGCTGTTTCTGCTTTTCCCAGCCCCCTGCTCCCTGGCTGTAGCATGAGTGCAGCTTCCAGCCAGTGGGGTACTGCATCAGGGCCAAGTAGCTGGAAGCTGCATCTGCACTGCTGAGGCTTCTCCCCACTGCTGTCTGCCTTCCCCCTGCAGCACAGTTGCAGCTGGGTGTTGCCCAGCCCCAGCATAGCTCCTCACTACTCAAGCCCAGTGAGGGTGTGGGTACAGGACCAGGCAAAACCCTCCCATTTCACATCCAGAACCTGTGGCTCCATAAACTGAATGCTGACAAGCCTGTCTTCACCATCAGCAACCCAAGATCTGTAACATGCAGTTGGGTGGTTTCCATTCTAACTGGTAGAGGGCAGTGATGCTTTCATTACAACAGGGTTGTTTTTGCTAGCAAACCCATGGCTCACAGTCTCCCTGTATGGGAAACCCTTTGGAACTCAATGGATGTTCTCTGTGTTGGGCTTTGTTCAGGTAACCCTCTGACAGTCACAGCCAGAGAAAAGGTTTTCAGGTGTACCTGTGAGGTGACACCCCAGATTGGTGGGGGCCAGAGCTCTGTCTGTCCCTTATAGTCCTACTTACTCAGGAGGCACTTTGGTAGCTTTGTTTGTGTTGCCATTGAGAGGTAAAGCCCCTCCCTGCTTCGCTCACCCTCTTCCCAGTGTACAGCATAGCCCAAGCCAGAGCCTGGTGATGCCTATCCATAAAGGAGTGTGATGCTGAGAGTGCGCACAGCCTTGCCAGAGCTGTTGCATTTGAAGTGCTCCTGAATTGGCTGTTTCATTTAAACAACCCATCGTACAGGCAACACAGGCTGTTGAATGTTATGGCCTCAATATGGCTGTCAAGGCCTCCTTAGGTCCTACTAGGAAGCCTGGGCTTCAGCCAGCTGTTGGAGTGCTAGATCCCAGAGTCTCTGAGCCCCAGGTCTATTACTGCACTTGGAAGAAATTGGAAGGTGAGACCAGCTCCCTACTGCTAAGTTCTCTGGGGGTTCAGGGCAGGCACAAAGGCAGTTTGATTCTGACAATTCAGCCAGCACTGGCGGGGGCAGTTCAGCATGTCACAGACAACTGCATGCATGCGGAAAAGACTCTACAGAGACAGAGCTCTAGGTCTACATGTGTGAGGGGCACTGTGCAGGGGACGTGGGAGATAGCACCATGTCTGTGGGAGCACTCTGTCATGCCAGCCTGTGGGAATGTACCTAGCCTCTCACTTTCTATTCACTTTGCAGAGGCTGCTGTGACCAGAGATGAGAGCTGGGAATTCTTTTCCCCGTGCCCCATGTGTGTGTTTAGCTGATGAGCATGGAGTGAGTTTGCACTCTGCCACCCCACCTTCACTGATGCTACAGGAAGGGTGGCTGGGGGAATGAGAGTGATGCCAAAAAAAGGCAAATGGAGAATGGATGAAGTGTTCTGAGAGAAGACAGAGAAGAGCAGGGTTAGTGCTCATCCCCCCTTGCTAAGATATCCTGGGAGCAAGGATAAACAAGGACAGAGAGTGAATAACGACTCTGGCAAGGCAGATGCTCATGACTGTTTCCCTTTGCTATAATCTACTTGTCAAGCTCTCTGCAAAATTTTAATATACAGTTTTCTGTATTTTTTTAAAAACAATAATCCCTCTGAGGCTTGGGAGCGAAACCAGCTTCCTTACTGATTTCTTTTTCTCCATCATACAGGTGTACCACTTTGCCAATGGGAAACTGCATCTTTACTCACAAGCTCCAGGACAGGTGTGTGACTGTAGCATTGCTTGACTATCTCTTGTGGCTTATGGTACTGTTGCCCACATTGGTTTGTTAGCAGAGGATTATGCCTGAATCCAGATGCACACAAACATGGGTCTCATATGGAAGGTTTGCCAGTGCATATGAGTGTACTTTTGTGCCAGGGCTACACAGGAGCTTTGGGCTGCATGCACTGATTTGTTTTTCAGCCTTGCTCATGAGTGCAAAGCTGAATGCACTCGTGTGTGTGGTGGAAAGGTGTGTGGTGTTGGGCTTCTGGTGTTGGCCAGGCGTGATGAGTTGTTGTAGGATCATGTGTAGGATTTAGCTATCGTAGTACATGTCATTGCAAATGTTTGTGGTTAAAATGGTATTTGCTTTGGAAAGATTCCTTCACTCCCCTTCCTTCCTCCTAAGAAATTCCCTGGGCTTTGGAGCCAAAAGGAACCACTACAGCAGAACCATGTTTTGAGACTTCCAAGTTTGACCATGTCACAGCTTGGTGGGGAGGGGACAGCAGTCCCACCCTAACTCTATGCCTCCCACTTTGAGGTCCTTAGACATGTGCTGTTCCAAACTACCTGCCATCTCCAATCAACTCATCCATCTGGAAGCCACGTGGGAAGAAGCCACTTTTAAATGACAAAAAACTAGGTCAAAATGCAGGACCAGTTCTGATAAAGAGGATCTGCTAGCAGTGTGTGATTGCAGAGGCTTAGAATTAGGAACCATAGTACACATGCAAGCCCCAAATTCCTATGTGAAGGCAAGTGTGTGGTGGTGATCCTAGGCTTGTGTCCTTCATTGTGTGAATGCAGGTGTGTGTATATATATGTGTGCATGTGTCCAAGTATGCACACACTTTGGGGTGATCCCCTCATTCTGGGCTTCTCTGACACATGGTTCTGCAAGCACCTTGATTGTCCAGTGTAATAGCTGCAGCAGGCAATGGGAGGCTGAGAGGAATGGGTGTATTTTTTCTTTCCTCTCATTATTTTAAATGGAAGGAACTGAAGGCAGAGATGAGCCTGTGCATTGCGCTCTGTTCCTGCATCGGCCCCACTGGCAGTTTCCTGCGCCTGGTGATGAATGAGCTCATTGCTGGGTCCTGCATGAGCGTCTCCACTGAGGCTTTGGAATCTCTAATAAGGTAGCCAGCCTCAATGGCTCTGTATGTGTTTCATTAACTCTGCCAGAGTAATATTAGGCCACAGCACTGGGCCAGCATGATCAGGAGGAGAAAGGGGGCTAGAAGAAAGAAAAGGTGCCAGAGCAGCATAGGGAGGAGCACTGATATAGGGGGACAGTGAAGATGGCAGTGTGATGTCCCTATGGAAAAATAAAAAGCTCCCCCCAGATTGATGTGTACATCTGCAGTGTGCTCTGCTCAGAGCTGCAGCCATCAGTCATTGGGGACAGGGAAGGGGGGAAGGACATCTGGGGGTTGTAGCCAGACCTAGGCCCTTTATATTGTTGTCTTGTGGACCTGTAGTGGCCCTTGCTAGCAGACACTTGCTCCAGATGTTTAAAGCAACTGGCTGTCTGGAACCACTCACTTGTTCTTGCTCATACTTTGTGATCTGCCTGAAGCACCTCAGGGACCTTCTCACTGACAGTGACTCACTTCAGAGGATGTTTGGGCCTATGCTAGTATGTAGGTGTCAGTACTTCCAGAAAATATCGTGGGCTGCTTCTGCAAAGATGCCAGCACCATAGGGACAAGGCAGTGGGATGTTCCAGGGGCCATGGAGCAGAAGAAGGTAGAAAGGGGTCATCTACAGCGGTGAAGCCTACTGATTCTGGACTGCGGAGAGGCCTGATGGAAGCTGGAAGAAGAGCTGCTGTGTAATTCTCTGCTGAAGGGGAGAGATTCAGTGACCTTTTATGTATGCCATCTCTCCCAGGATTTTGAGAGAGGACATCATCTTTCCAAGATGGGTATTTCAAAAATAAGGATTATTGACAGGTGGTATGAAGTATTTAATGGGTTGATGAGTTCCCATGAAGTTGAACACAGATGAAATGAAGAGGACTGTATGACACTGGCCTGCATAACAGGGTAGAGAAAATTCCCTGTTCCATACCTCTTTTGAGACTTTGGGTCTAGGTATCTCTAGCAGGAATGGGACTTTCTTTTAAAAGTATACATGTATCAGGGTTTTTTAAGCCTTCTTCAGTGGCATTGGATGTTGGCTGCAGCCAACACTAGGGATTTTGACTGGGGTTTGCCAGTGCTCCTGCTGGGACTTAAAGCTGGAGGGTGATGACTAGAGGTTCTTGCCTCTCTGCCCAGGGTCAGACCAATCAACATATTCTGGGTCACGAAGAAATTTTACCCCATGGTCAGATTGGTATGGGTTGTGGGGCGTTTTGCTGACCTCTGTAGTAGAGGCATGGCCCTCTTCCTTGAATCCCTTGGGCATATATTAACAACCTTTATAGCAGCAGGATGTTGGCCACCATCAGCTACCGTCCCCCTGCTTATGGTAGGTTAAGGCGCTATATTTTGTATTGTATTGGAGTTTACTGTGTTGTTTTGCTGAGAGGTTAGACAATAGGTTTGTATAGGGTGGTTTGGATAGGGGTGATCCTGCCTCAGGCTCAGGGGCTGGACTAGATGACCTATGGAGATCCTTTCCAGCCCTACTTTATGATTCTGTGATCTTTCTGTACCTTTCCTGGAGAACAGATACCCACCACATAAGAACTGCCACTACATTTTGGAGCTAATTGCCCCTTTACGGACAATCTCAGCAGAGAAGGCAAAGTCTGAAAGGGCCATGAAAAATGAAAGGGAGTGTCTACTGGAAGCCCCTCCATGGCATGGCAGTGGTGGAGAAGAGAATATCTTGAAGTGAGTTTCAGATGCCTGAGAACGTATAAGAAGTCCTAGCTGCCCTGTTGTCCTCTGCAACCTCTTTGTGTGTGGGAAAACTGAGGTCTCCAAACACCACTTTGTCACTAGCAGAGGTATGCCGAGCTTTGATCTTACCAGACCTAACCAGCAGGGCCAGGCCTGGTCCACACTTTGAGGAAAACCTGGTGCTACAGAAAGTGGTGCTAGTGATTTACTGGGCCAGGAGTGTGTAAGTTCCAGCCATGGTAGAGCCATGAAATGCAGAGCAGGAACTAATGGTTCTTATTGCTGATGTTTTTGGCTGTTGGCTTCTCTCTAGATCTCCACTTCAGTTTCCCATCCAAAGGTAATGGCTAAAACAGGGAATTGTTTCCTCACCTTCTCCTTCATGCTGGCTGTATCTCCCCAGTGCCCAGGGACTGAGGTGGCCTTAAGAGAGAATGGGTCTGCAGGCTGTGGATCAGGCATTCCTTATCAAATCCCACCCCACTCGGGACTACAGTTCACCCTCCATTTTGGCATCATGCATTCTTCTTATCCTGGCTGGCAACCAGATTATTGCTCATATGGTACGAATCCGTGCACCTGAGGTCACTGCTGTCAGGAACTGGATCCACTCTTGTTTAGCAGAGCATATGTGAGAGATACCGGCAGACAGGAGGGTTGAGCTGCAGGGATTCCAGTGGGATCAGCACCCAGCGAACCTGTGTGCAGATGGGACAATTCTGATGCAAATGGGTCCTGACAGCATCCCACACCCAAGGTGACACTCTGTTCCCACAACGGCCGCGCCAGTCCTGCCCCTCAGGCATAGGAGAAGCCATGCTCAGAGTCTGCTGGGAACCAAGGTAGAGTGAGGCAGGAGGAATGCCTGGTTCTGCCATCTCCTTCCGCTGGTGGAGATGAAATGTGCACAGAGCTGTTACACAAGCAGCTTGCAATCCAGCCTGTTTGAGGTGAAGCAAAGGTCTCCTTCCCTGTCAGGCTTCAGGATTCAGCTAGGCTCCCACAGGCTTGGGTCTGCTCCATTTCTAGCTGCTTGGCAGGGCTCCACTGTGACCTGCCTATAAAATGTCCATGGGGGAACTGTGTCCAGCATGTGGCCGTATTAACTGCTGGTGGGGAATTTGGATCTTGGCTGCCTTAGCAAAGCACAGGGCTCTGGTATTAGGCAACCCCTGCGGCAGCCAGAGGTTTTAATTTTGCTCATGAACTCCAGTGTCAAGTAGGTGAAGGGTTAGAACCAAGGAGAAAATGGATCTGTGTTTGTTCTCTCTCCCAGCGGCTTTACTAATGTCTCACCCCTGCCCTGTAGCTCCCTGCTATCCCAGTGCTGGGCTCCCCACACACAGCTCTGCTAGTTATCTTCACTGCTGACCCTTTGTTGGCCACTTGACAGGATTCTGTCGTGCTAATTCTGGTCTCCGCACAGAGCTTTGCCAGTGCTCTTTGATTCCCACTTGCCACACTGGGATCCCCCCATTGTTGTTCCAGGCCAGTAAATCCTGCATTAAAGCCAACCATGTAGAGCCTTACAGTGCAATCTGTCAGGCTGGATAGTTCTTCAGAGGAAATGAGGGAAGCCCCAGTATTTTGGACACATGACATCGGACTGGGTGAGATATGGTTGAAGGTCCCATAAGCAGGTCCCAGCGTTATCTCTGCATATGCTCCATGGCAACATTAATGAACTGCATTTCTATGAAACACTCTCCATTGGGATCATGCCCATATACACGTGCAATTGACCCATGGCTGAAAAGCCCATATACATCAGGATCACTTCAGTAATGGCTGTTTTTGACAATGCTGTTTTTTCACTGTTTCTTCCAAAAACTCCAGCTCTGTGGGTCTCAGCAGTTGAGATATTGTTTAAGCTGCCTGATTTCATCTTTGCACCCCATGTGTCTCAGAAAAGGGGGAAGCATCTGTTCATCAAATCCCATGAATCATCTTCTCAGCTCTCTGGATCTTGGGCTGCTGCTCTGTGCCATAGGCATTGCTGTTTGCTGGCTACATTCCCAACTTCTCCTAACCTGTGGATATCTATTAGATTTCAGCTGTGATCCTTGCCTGGTTCTGTGCAACAGTGAAGGGCGCCTGTACTATAATCCAGTTAATCCTTCCCTGGTGAAGAAAGGTGCAGCACAAGGGGCAGCTACAGGCAGGTCCCAGCAGGTCAGGGAAACAGGAAGTGAAATGCTCCAAACCCAGCTGCAGCCAAAGCACAAATTCTTTAGGCAAAAGCTGTATCTTGGAAAAGCATCATCTGCTATGTATAAGATGTCATGGGGCCCTGTCTGAGATGAATGAGGCAGTTGTCTGCAGGGTTGTGCTCTGTGCAGACTCAGATATACATTGGTTGATGCTTGATTCATCCTTATGAGGTTATCTTCTCATCCAGAAGGGTTTTTTTCTAAATCAGGGCTGTCCAACTTCCCTGCAGCTTGTGGCACTGGTGTGTGCACCCCCAAACTTCATACCACGTGAGCCATACACTATGGATTGGGCCCCCAGGCTGCCTTCTCCTACAATGTTGACAGCACCAGCAGCACTTGGCCTTTGCTCCCCTGTTGAATGGGCTGTGTGCTACCTATGCAGTCTGTGTGTCAGGGAGGTGGGGGGCCATGCACTGCCCATGCAGTCCCCGTGAGCAGCAGTGGTAGTACACGTTCCCCCCCACCCTGCTCCCTCCAGGCCCTTCCCTGCTGTGCTGCTATGGGAGATATGCCTGTAGGGGCCCACAAGCCACTGGTTGGACAGCCCTGTCCTAAATGAAAGATAAGATTTTTGGAGCACACTTCTATGGCAAGGAGGGAATGTTGCAGCCATTTCTGAAATAGGCCCTGGCCATCTTGTCCACATACAAGGGAATAGAGCGTGGTCCATAGAGTCTTGAGGCTCTTCCCTTCAGAGTGCTGTTAACACTGGGATCTGCTGTCTTTCTTTGCAGCTAAGTCAAAGGAACACCATCCAGACATTCATTCCTGTGCAGAAGATGGAAAAGGGTCTCTTGTTGGAGCATGTCTTGCCCAATCTGAAGGTGCCTCAGAGCTATGAGGTCCGCCTGACTCCTATAACTAGCTTTGGGGCTGGAGATATGGCTTCCCGCATCATCCAATACATGGAACGTAGGTATCTCCCCTCTGCCCTGCAAAGTCAGGGCTTTTTAGTGGCTCAGGCCAAAGGAGGAGTTTGATTGTTGGTTTGTTTCTAGCATTGTGGTCCCAGGAGGGTCCTTGGATGTTATCTAGCACTATGGTATTGCAATGCCATCTCCGCACTTTGGCTCAGGACCTCATGCATGGGCTACAGGAGACTAATCCTCAACTCATTCCACCCCCGCCCCCAACATGTGCTTTTCACTCTCCAGCTGCTCAGAGCCCAGTATTTCCAATCAAGCCATATGGAACCTTTTGCTGCTATAAGGAAGCTGTGTTCATATCCAGGCCATGGGTAGTGTGTTCTAGCCAGACTGACCACAGAGGGAAGAGAACTGCAGTGACCTTTAAATAAATTAATGCCACTGCTCTCCTGACAGCAAGCAGACACTGTAACTGTAGGCAGGTTTCCATCCCCTTGGGATGCTGACTCCAGCCTCCAAACCTGTAGATCACTAGACCCCATGAGCAGAAGGCTCCCCCTCTCCCCAGCTCCTGCAGGATATCAGATAGTAGGACACTTCGAGGAGTACAAACCCACTCAGTCACATCCTGAAATTGAGTTCTCTCCCTTCAGCAGAGGATGTGTGACCCATCGAGTCCCATGGGATACCCTTGTGACTCATTTTCGCTCGAGATACCCATTCCCTACAGAGAGGTCTGGGACCCACTTGTTCCCTCCAGGTTGGCAGATCCTCCTTCTAAGGACTAGTCAGTTTCCCCCCAGGATATCAAACTGTCTTGGTATCCACATCGGATACTCATCCCCATTCGATTCCACAAAAGAGTGAGCTTGGGGCACCAGAATGCCCTCTCTGCATAGACACAAGACCCAGGGGCTTGCTCAGAGCCAAAGGTTTGCTTCTGGGGTTCTGTTATCACTGGGAAAAGAAGAATGCCCACACCTTGTTGTGTTCCAAATGTGAGAAGTTTCCCTTCTTCAGCTCAGGACCCATGGGCTGGGCAATGTAGGCATGAGTCACATTACTTAACTTTTTAAAAAAACTAAGAATCTGGATTTTTTTTTTTTATCTTGCGGGAAAAAATGTTATTCTAACCCTTCCTGTTTTCTGTTTCCTTCCCCAGCAATCAACTCTCCCAGCCCAGCAGGTAGGCAGCAAAACCACTGATTTTTTTTTCAACTGTACAGAAGGATTGTAGCCTATGGCTGCCCCAGCAGATGCCAGATTTGTGAGGCAGAGTCCTGCCAGGAATATCGAGTGGCAGAGATAGCTTTGCCAGATCCTTTCTCTGACAGAGCGTTAAAAAATCTTCCAATGGGAAGTGCAACTTTTTGGATGCCCAAAAAAGGAAAAAGGCACCCAAAAACCCCACTCCCTTACACCTGGGGCCAGATCCTATTCCACCTATTAGGTGTCTAAGAAGACTACTATTCCACCTTACTCAGTCCCTGAAAAACAGGTAATACAAAAGGTGGGTGGGCAGTCCTCTTGCATGCTACCTGTTGTGATTTAGTCTTACGGCTAAGATGATGGTGCATCACAAAAACAGGCATGTTAACATTTCTCAGGGACTTGAGCAGGGTAAAATAGGATCAGAGTGCAGTGGGATCTCGCCCCTGATGCCCACATGACTGGGAAAGATGTGACTGCCAACAGCACTCTCTTAATGTTAGCAACATGCCCCAACAAGAATGGTGAAATTAGTAATTCAGAGTAGACATGCATATGTGTTTGTGTGGGGGGCTTGTTTGTGTGTGTGTGTGTGTGTGTGTGTGTGTGTGTGTGTGTGTGTGTCTTTTTAATAACCCCCATTCTGTTCTAACTGGGAAAGAATCCTAAAACCTCTGTAGGATGTTGCATGTTGGCAAATATTCTCCACTGTGGATCTAGTTCCCCTACAAACATCTGTATTTCCAGTTCTTTATTGCACAGCATTTTTCTTTTCTTCAGTAATGTCTTATCCCTTTGGGTTATGGTGATATCCAAGATCTTAGGGAACTGGATGTTGGCCTGATTTATCTCAGGTATTGAGAAACCAGAGCCCCTACCAATTCTGTTGAGAGTACTCAGCATCTTTAAAAAATCAGGCCACAGGATGGTGCTCAGACGTCATGAGAGCAGATTGCTTAGGGAGAGCCCAGGGGGTTATAAGAAGTTGTGGAATCATCTCTTTCAGGTTGGATAGAGGCCTCATCGCTTGAATCACAGGGTAATTACCAATGTGAGGTAGAGGCTGGCAGAGCTAATGGGTCACAGGGAGCAGGCTAGTTCCATGGTGCTGGCTCTTCCTCTTTATTTCCAGCTGCCACATGGAAGTAAGAGAAGCTGAACATATATTCAAGGATGTCCAAATGTTACTTTTTCACATAAGCAAGTACTGTGGCTGCTCCAAATAATGGGGTGATGGCTGGAAAGGTACACTGGCTCTGGATAATGGCAGCTAGGAGTGGAGTTAGGTTTTCCAGCTAAGAGGGGAGAGAACCATGAGACATTTCTGCAAACAAAATGTAATTCCCCTTACGTATTGGTCTTTGACCCCCTGCCTTAGGGAGCCTTAAGGCTCATGTCCTACCTGAGGGTATTTGACATTGTTGCAAGGCTTCTCTGGTGCTATTTTCTCTCATTTTCCACTTCCCTAAAGGGAAGGCTGCCACTGTCCGCTTATTCTCCACAACATGGCTCCTAGACATCCTCTGGGAAAGAATCATTGGGAAACAATGAATAGGGTTTTGCAGTCTGTGCTTCCAGAGTACCTATACTTCAGCAGCTAGCCTGGGTAGAGCATCCTACCTCAGTAAATGAGATAAGTCTTTCCTTTCAGCACCCCTAGAAATGCCATTGTGGTCTTCATCTTGAGTATGGCAGTCGTCTTCAACACATTATATATGGCACTGCCAAGTTCTGCTCAAGCAGGGACAGCTTTGGCTGCTTGATAAGGGCCAGGACACTTCACCCAATGTGTCTTAATATTGGTGAGAGTGCAGCCAGCCTCATATTTCCATACAGAGGAGCAGCCACAAAGCCAGCATGTAGTGTTCTACTTTGAGAAAAGCCAGAAGGTCTACACTGAGTGCAGGGACATATATGTGAGGACATGGTTGCTATAGCTTCCCTTGCTTTCCAGAGATGCCCCTTTCCCTTCAGACCTTCTGACCAGTGCAGTCACACAGGCATTTAGCTTTGTATCCATGCTGCAAAGAGAATAACCCAAAATATCACCCAGCTCATAGATCAGCAGAGACCCTTAACTCTTCTCCTGCTTTGAATTCTGGCATTCCCCTGCATGGTGAAAGGGCAGCGAAGAGAGCCACGGGGCTATCATGCTTGGCTGCCCAGCTAAACACTGGGAACGGATACCCCGTGCTCTGGAGTGAAAGGCAAAGATTAGATGATTAATGCCCCTGGCAGCCTGATCCAAGGACACACACAATAGTGATTAATTTATAGACTCAGAGAGTTGCTTGATATAATTATTTCTTCATGCATTTTCTCTCCTCGCCTAATAAGATGTTAATGACATCAGGGCATGCTTGCATGTGGCCTGGTTACTGAGGCAGGTGCCAGGATTGTATAGAAACAGCAATTTCAAATGAAGGTATAGGGAGGGGGTGCTGAAGCCTCATGCACTTGGAGGTTGGGGATGGGACTGACCTTAACCAGTAAAAATCGATCTGAGGCTAGTATTATTTCACCTGATTCCTTTGTTATTTCATTTGAACCTGACCTCTTGTGGTCATGAAAGATCTCTTTTAGTTCTTATTGCAAGAGCAAGGAAGTTAATCAGGGTCTCCATGCCAAAAATCCACTCTGAGTTCCAGTCTGCTTGCTTACATTCTGTCTGCCATGTCAGTCAAATACAGTCTTCACTTCTTCACCTGAAATCTTGCACTGTGTTCCTGTGTGCTGTTAAACAGCTGTTCTCTTCCACCCCAGAAGTGGCATGTGGAATGATTCTTTAGATGTTCATTCTAGCAACCTTGAAGATCGAGACAGAAATACGAGACATTTTCATTATATTTTCTGCCAGCCTGCCATTCCCATCCTGAGTAGGAACAGCACTCTTTCTCTGGGTTCAGTAACTGAACATAGTGCTAAAGAGATCTGACAGGGAATGATCAATGCATGGGACTTGTCATACCACAATAGGCCTATGAATTCATCTGCTCCTTTGCTAGACATCCAGTGCTTCCAATTCTGCCAGTCTCAGATGATCCAGAGAAAGCTGAATTTCCTTGCCTAAGGTCAGTGCATGGGAATGAGAAATGACTTAATGGAAGAGTGGAAGACTGAGGGAATAAATAGATGTCACCTTTGTGCTGGCATAACGGTTTTTATGGTGGCACAAAGGGAAAGCAAAGAGACCTTTATACCATTTTTTGTTCCGCAATTATGTGGGTGCAACAAAGGTGGTAGTAGTTTCCACCGCTTTATTGTGGCAGATGTCTGTTAGGTTTATGGCGTGAGAGTGCAGATGGCCTGCACCCTCCAGTTGCCCCAGGCAGGTACCCCCGTGCCTTGAGGGGCCCAACCCTGTGCACCCCAGAGGGTCCCATGCAGGAAAGGGTCTCTCAAGCCCTGGAAGCTCCTGTCCAGGTTTTGTCTTTTACAGATGCACCAGAGGGAATCTCCAGGAAGTCTTTGTAAGCAGGGAACTCGTTTTCCCTGTTTACAGAGATGCACCCTGGAGATTCCCCAGAGCATATCTGTGCAAGCAGGGAACACATTGCCCATTGTCCCACAGGATCAACAGGTGGCACAGTGGATGACATGTGTTTTGCCCAATGAAGTGAATCAGCTGTTCCAGGACACAGCTGATCCTCTTCATTTGGTGACATCTGTTTACACCTAGAAACTCAGGATTTCTAAGTCCTATGCTCAGCCATGGAAAAGGAGTATTTTTGGTCTAGAGCAGTGGTTCTCAGCCTTTTCAGACTCAAGGAACTGCTGGTAGCTTCTAGTTTTTACTTGATTTTTGACTGCAGAAAAATACTAGAGCAATTCTCCCGTTACAAAGAACTCAGAAAGACCACAGCAGGTCAGAATGGTTTTAACACCATGGCTTCCTGTTTGGAATCTCTGGGGTTATCTTATGCATCATGCTTGCACACCCAACAGTGCTTGCACACCTGACAGCTACAGCACCATTGAAAGGATCCCAAGGCATCCCAGGGTATCACAACACCCTGGTTGAGAATCACTGCTCTAGATGGATACAATGGCCGGAGGAACTGAGTAAATATTTTGAATCTTTGTTTCTGCTTCCGGCTCTGCCAGTGGCTTATTGTGTAATGAGGGCAAATCAGGCTGTATAACACTGTCTGCTTTAATTTCCCCATCTGTAATACAGGGATAATAATTACTTATCTCACAGGGGTGTTATGAAGTTCAGTTAATTAATGTTGATAAAGTATGTTGAGATCCTAGATGGAAGGCACTCACAGAAATAATATTTAATGCTCTTGAAGAGCACTCTTTATGCAGTGATTCCAAAACACTTTGCAAGCGTGATTAAGGAACACTAACCTCATTTTGGAGATGGGAAAATGGCTTGTCACGCACCTAGCCAGTCACACACCCACCTGGGGCTGGAATCATGGTGTCCTGTGCCCTAATCTTCTACTGCAGCATTGCGCTACAGTGACAGTGAACACAGTTCAGGTACACTTAGGTATGTAATATCTCGAGCATCAGTACTTGGCTGCTTCTTCATTTGTGCTCCTACAACCTGAATATCAAAGCTTGGGATGGCTTCCCTGGGGCTGAAATGAAAACCTCTCTTCCATTCACCTAGGAGGGGAAAAAGCCAAAAAATGCTAATAGCCACAGCAGAAGATCTTTTCCGTGTGAGGAGACAAACAAATACTTTGACACCTTTAGCTGCAGCCACTGCAGATAGCACATAGAGGAAATCAGTTGGGTGAAGGAGGAATTGCTTTTGAGGAACCGGCTCCCCCTCCAGCCCAACCTCATTTCTAACAATCCAGTGAACAATTTACATGTTCAGTATTTAAACCAAAGGTTTTGTTTTTAAATAGGAGAGTTTTCTTGCTTCTCAAGGGCTGTACCAGAATCTTAGCCAGATGGACCAACTCTGAGACCAGGCATACGTCACACTGTTGGGGGCAGCAGTTAGATCACTGCTACAGCCCCAGGGATGCAGAGTCATTGAGAAGGTTTATTTCCAGGTGGATCTGCCAGGTTTCTTACAGTGAGATGTGCTCATAACCTTTTGACCTTACTAAGGGATAGAGTTCTGTTTGCATCCTAAGCCAAACAGAACATGTCTCAGCTACAGCCCTGTCTACAGGTGTCTATCAAAAACACAGAGGAGATGTATTCACCTCTGCAAATCTGGCTTGGTCTTGCAGCTTGGCTCTGGAGGAGTGAAAGCATGGTCTGTCATTTTAAAGGAGAGGACTAGGAGTTAGGGCATAGGGGTTCTGTTTCTAGCTGTGTCCCTGGCTGGCTGTGACCTTGTATGAGTCCCTTGCTGCTTCTGCATCTTGACATTCCCATCTGTAAAATGGGAGAGATGATTTTGTGCATCCCAGAGGAACTGAGAATGTGTTGTTAAAAATTAGAGGGTGCTTTGGGCTCCTCAGATAGGAATAACTAGAGCTTGTCAGAGAGTTCAGATCCCCACACAAGATGCTCAGCAGAACACCCATACACATTCCTATAGGGATTATCAGGTTTAGCCTTTATTGGTTCTGGGATTCTTCTTCACCTCCTGGTTAAGATGTTCTTAGGGGAGCTACACTGCACCCTAGAAATGGCTTCATTTCAGCAAGAGAAGCAGTTTCAGTCCAGGGATGTGTGTGTTAAAGGAATTATAGGATAGTAGTTCTGTTTTGTGACAGTGATCCATGTCTTGTGATAGATCAGATTCCTCCCAGTATAGTAGTAAGGGGTCTCTGCCTCCTGCCTGCTCAGGTTTTGTGTTCCTTTCTCTGAGGGGTTTCATCTCACAAACCCATGCCAAAGACTTTCTTCATGACAATCCCCTACCACCTTTCATGGTCACTCAGGCAGCTGTATCCTCCATGTTCTGGATAGATAGAAGTGCAGCCGAAAGGCCCCCCTACAGTCTGACCACCTGCAGAGGTACAGGTTACTCTCTTCTTAAACCAGCCCAAATAGATGCCACACAGCCTCTTCGTGAGGCTGCTTATTTCTATCTTGAGTTCTCTTTTTCTTTCCCATGTGTCAGTTATGTAGATTTTTGTGCTATTGAAAGGGGTAGCCTGTTTCCCTGGAGACTGAAGTGCCATGCCCATTCAAGGAATGGCACCCAGGGCACCAGCTGCACAATTCCCTCCATATCCCGATGCGTGCCAGCATCCCCATCCTAAGAGATGTGTCTTGGCATGGCTATTGACAAAGGTTCAGTTGCAGTGCATGCCACCTGGGAGAGTGGGAACTCTTTGCCTAGACAGCTGCAAGGCATAGGTAGACATCCCCAAACATTTCAGTACATCCCCAGAGCTCATACACTGTTCATTTCCCTCCTTTCCAAAGTACCAGGCCCCCCATCTCTGTGCAGTCATTCTGAGCTGGAGTTGCATTTGGGATAAAGACATATGATGAGCACAGCTGGCATTCAGCTAGCCATGTCCCACCTCCTGTGAGCTACAGCTAAGGTACCTTGGGGTGGGCTTCACTCTGGCAAGGTTCATTGCACTGGTACAGGAGCTGAGCCTAGTGAAGGAAAAGCTGGGGTGTGTTGAATCAAACTCACCACATTGGAGAGCTGGTAGGGACCAGCATTCCCTGTGTGATCTGAAGGTCTCAGTCCATCAAGTGGCATTGGTAGGCCTGGAGCTCAGCCACCTCATTCACCTAAGCCCCTGGAAAGGACATGGAGTAGTTGCTGTCTCCCTGCTCTCTCTGCCTCTGAGGCAGACACAAAACTAACTGTAGAGACTATGTGATCCTCATGCTGAAGATCACCCAGGCACCTGCATGTCCAATCCCCCCACTTCTCTCTTCTCTTCCACCAGCTTCAGATGCTGAGCAGCCCCTTTTGCTCGGCACTACAAGGCAGTGAGTAATTTGGATTAGGATGCTAATTAAAAATGAATGGACTGAACGGAAAGCACTTAGCCAGGGTTAATCAGCGGTTAAGTGGCCAGCACAGCCCCGTATGGCTGCATTCAGTTCACAGGAGTTGTTGCTTCCTGCTGAGCTACACGGCCCTGCAGAGCTTTCTCAGCAAGGCCAGCTGCCTTGGTCAGTGTGAATGGACCCTTCAGACAGCTCATACATAACGAGTGGCATTGAGGACCTTTTCTAGGTATCGGTGGGTTTCAGAATGGGTCAAGTTCTCTGTTCTCACTTGCACAATGAGCCATCGAGAAGAGACCAGAGTAGATAGAGGAAGAGGGAAGCCACCTAGAGCCTCCAAATGCCCTACTCCAGAAAAGTCTCCACGTGTGCTGACTGAGCCACTAGAACCGGGATGTCCCTTGCCCTCTGTCAAGCTAGCAAACTGCATTGGGAATCTCACTTGTTGAAGCTGTAAGATTTTGAGAAGACAGGAGCTGATGCAGCATGTCAGAACCCTCTCCAGCTGTGCCCAGGGCCAGGTGCTATTTGTGGGTGTGAGCCCTCATACAAATTGAGCTGAGTGCTAAGCTGTCTGTGGTGAAAGGTATTTCTTCCTAACACCAGGTAACTTAACACTCAGCTAAGGTGCCAGAGCAGGAGGGTCACTGTCTCCCCACAACCTGTTTCTTCTTTATGGTTTTTAAACCAGTTACCTTCCAATTTCATTGTGTGCCTTATTTTCACATGACAGAGGGCTAGGAGAAGATCCTTCTTTTCACCTTTCACTACTTTCTGTACCTCACTCATGTCGCCTCCTATTTGCTTCCTCTAAATTGAGACGTTCCAATCTCTTCTGGTTTCACCCCTGATTTCACCTCTCTCTTCAGACCTCTAAGCATTTTTCATGGCCAACCCCTGGAATCTTTCCTGTTTCTGCTCTTTTTTCTCTCCTATGTGTCTAGTTTCCATTGACTTAACAGAACCCCTGTATGGGCATCTAAGGGTGGGCCACAATCTTATAACTCTGGGATTGGTCCTTTATGATAGAAGTTAGAAATGGAGAAGCTTTATCATGTTGGGTCCAGTCTGGGAATCAGTGTCATGCCAGGTCTGCCCTGGAGTCTTCTGCTGCCCATTGACCCCTTCACAACATTCCTATAACAGCAGAAGCCCTAGTATAGATACAGTTCTACCTGCATAAAAGTTATTTTGCTAGTAGCAGCAGTGCAACTGAGAGGGGGTGACCAGGTAGGGCAACAGCTTCAGATGTTGCCTTTGTGGGGGCTGTAGTGGTGGCTGTCAGTGCTACTATAATCAGTGCAGGAGGAGGTGGCATTGCACCCATATATTGGTGGCTGGCCCAGGCACAGACCTGCTCTGCTATACCTCTGGCTGGCATAATGTATTTTGCTTGAGGAACTAGTTTCTACTAACAATGTTAATTAACGTATACCAAAGTTAATATGGCAATAGACGTCTTTTTTGCTAGTATAAACTGGATTTACACAAGTTGGATTTTCTACTATAGCTATCCTAGCAGATGTTTTCTACATCTGGCCTCAAGTTCTTCTCTGCGGAGTACTTTCACATGCTTGGTCCACCCTAGTTGAAAATATCCCTTGTGAAGGGTCATTCAATCTTTTCTCTGAGGAGATGATTCCACAGTCAGGTAGCTCTTGCTGTTGGGAATCCTTTCTGGTCTGGTTAACATAAATGCTTCTTTTGTTAATTTTACGCTCCTATAGTCCTGCTTCCTCAGAACAGCCTGCAGGATCTTCATTTCCCCTTGTAGGCAATCACTCTCTCCAGGCAGGTTTGGCTGATCAAAATCAGCTACTGTTCCCACCCACAGATAACACCTGCCACTTTGAGGATGAAAAGATCTGTGGCTTCATGCAAGACAGGATGGACAACTTTGATTGGACTCGTCAGAATGCCCAGACGCAGAACCCGAAGCGCACTGTCAACACTGGCCCACCCACAGACATCAGTGGCACTAAAGAGGGTACGTAGACTGCTCTTGTTTCTGTTGCCCATCTGCCCTCCAAGTGCGCAGTGGAGGCAGAGAACAGTTGCACTCTATTGTGCCAGGGCCTCTTCAGGTTCTCTGTAGCCCCTCAGCACCACACGACCCTGAAGGCTGAGTGTTGTTCTGTTTTCCAGGCACACGCTTCTGCTCTATATGGGGTGCAGGGAGCATGCAATTAATTTGCATGTTACTGATTGGCATTAAATACACAATTAGAACGCCCACGACTTTGTTTAAAGGAATAGTCAGAGCATTAGTCCTTGTTACCAGCTAATTGCCTGCTGCCAAATGCCCTTGTCCCATTTGATGCTTGTTTTGAAGTCACAAAAGAAGCAAGTAGGAAAACTTCTCTAGTGCTTAGAAGGGCCCAACTTGGTTTCAGCCAGATATTTTCCTGAGAAAGAACCTGGTAAGGGCATCACATCTCTCCTGGGTTAAGAGTCACTTGGAAGGAGTTTGTGTGAGACCTTGAGGGCTGAGGTTTATAAGATGAATGCTGAAGGGAAGCATGTATCTGCCGGCTTTGGAATGGCCCTTGCCCAAAGGTTCCCTCTCTTTGCCAGCTCTCTGGGGTGGCATAGGGATACAGAATGAGTCGTCAAGCAAAGCAAGGGACATGTTCTGCAGTGTTGATATAGCACGACCACAGTTCCTCCCTCCCTCTGTGAGGGAGAATAAATTTTTATCTGAGAACAGATATGTGAATCAAGAACAAATGAGGAAACCCCCATTAACCAGCCAAGTAAATTGCTTTTCCTGCAAATGTTTCTCATAGCAGTTGCTCCTTCAGGAAAAGGACCCTAGCAAAATAAACAGCTGTGTTGTAAAGCTGTTCTTGATCCTGTTGCTATGAACCTCCTCAGCATTGTTATTTAAAGATCTCACAGATTATTAGAGTTTCTCTCTCTCCGCTTGGGACACTGAAATTAAATGGCTCATTTTCACTTCCCTCAGTCCCTGGTAGTGTGAGGCAGGTGAAAAACTCTAGATAGTTACAATGGGCACATCAGGTCAAAAGCATGGCCAGCTGGTTTCAGAACACAAGAGGCCCGTGCAGGGGGAGAAGAGCAATGCATTTTTATTTCAAAGCCCACCTGCCATATAGGTTCTAAGCTGCCAGCAACCTCTTTGACCTGCAGGGCAGGAGACATAGCACATTGCCTTTCCTCACCTTTCCCTCTTGTTCTGCAGGTTATTACATGTTCATTGAAGCCTCTCGGCCCCGAGTGGAAGGAGACAAGGCCCGGCTGATCAGCCCTCTGTACAACATTACCGCCAAATACTACTGTGTCTCCTTCTACTACCACATGTACGGGAAGCACATTGGTGAGTGTATGTTCAAACCACATTGGTTCAAGTACCACAGTCCTCTGTTATCATCTAGTAATCCTTCTCCATTCCTGAGCCAGAGTCGCAAAGCCCCATTTTCAGCCCCCTCTGAGAAGGGCAGAAATTCCCTATAATGCTCTAGTAGCCCTTCACCTACTGTATGTCTTGTAGGAATGCTTCACCCCCTTATCCTCTGCACTCTCCCTGACACCAACACAGGGTCTTGTATTCTCACAACCTCCATCACCATACTACAGTATCACACCTTTCCCTATCAAAATGCCTCTGCAATTCCTACCCCCTCCGTTCTCTTCCCTTTCTCTTTCCTGGAAATGGTGAGATGTGCTGTGTGATTGTCTCACAGAAGGGACTGTGGGTGTGGAGGGATGCTGAAGACATTGGGGTGGTGGAGGGAACTGTGGGAGAAAAGGCTCTATGGTGGCTGCTGTGGTTTGAGGCTGGGAAGATAGTTGCATCAGGCTGACAGGGAGATGTGCAGGGAGGTGGCCATGCCATAAAGCAGAACCATTCTGAGGTGCCATCTCCCTCTGCCCTGTTCCCCTGACTGCTGAGCCAGAACCTGCGTGCTTAGCAAGCATCCCCAAAACTCCCAGCACAGTAATGAGTTTCCATATCCAGTCAAGGAGCAATTGCTAATTCGTCACCTCTTGATTATAATTTCATTAATTTGAATAATAGATGCAGTCTTCCCACAGCACTCCACGTTATTAATCACCTGCTGGACTGGAGCCTGACTGAAAAATCAGGGCCCAGGCAGGAGGGTGCCTGCTCTTTGGTAAATGGGGTTAATTAACAGCTCTCTACCTCATCACCCATCCATATCACTGGGATGGAACGTGCTTCAGTGACCAGTCATCTGCACCTCTCCTGTGTGTGGTGGGGAAAAAAGGGTTGAGGTCCAAGACCTGGAACTATCCCACCATGCAGAGTTACTGACTGAGTGTGAATGGTTTCTCAGTCATGAGGAGGTGAAGATTGGTCACCTAAAAGGTTTCCTTCCCTATGTTTGACATGAGGACACATAGCCCTATGCTCTCAATGTCCTGACAGTTCAAAGGAATTGTAGTATGCTGGCACTTGCTGTATAAGTGGGTAGCTCTGTGTTGCCTTGATGCTGTCAGTGGAAGGTTATCATGATCTTATACCCAAATCTGTTCCACTTGGCACTAGGTTTTTCTTTGCTTGCTAGATTAATCCAAGTGCTCTACCGATATAAGGTCCTGCTCTTGGTTATGGCTGTGCAGCTTGCATGACTTTGTGTATGGGTTCTTCTGGCTTTTTCAGATTAGGTCATCCACAATCACCTCATAGGGCCAGGCCAGTCAGTCCTTCTGTACATTCTCCCCTAGCTCCTCCTCAGACACTTACGAAAAGGCTGTCATCCTACATCCTTCTCATGTAGAGGAAGCCATGCCAATGGTAGCAGGAGAAGGAGGGGAAAAAAAGGAGAGGTCCCCTATGATTGCTTCATTTGGGCATGATGCATTGCACCTTACATGGAATTGCTTTTCTGCAGGGAAGATGATGATGTTCCTCTTCAAAACTTGACCTTTTTCACATAAGAACCTTGCAGCACCCATATTTAATGGTCATGTGGGTTCTGTTTAGATAGGAAATGAACAGGATACAGTAGAAGAGAGTTTTGATTATCTGCATTTTAACCCTTTTGTGCATTGGTTCCAGCCACTAGGTGTTCAGCAGGAAAGGTTCTGTTCCTCTGGAGACTCATGAAGACCCCATAGGTCCCATTTTCCATACCTCAGCTTCAGGAATCTTTCAGCTTTTCTCTCATATTTTTTTTCTCCATTTAGACTTAATATTATCCTCCTGGTCCCTGTTCCCCTCTCATTGCACAAAGGGGTTGTTAAATTTGTGCGAGGTGGCTGAATTGTTTAATGTTAATGTCATGTGATGATTTCCCAGGGTGGGTGCTGCTCAGCTGAGAGTGAATGAATTATTTAAATATCAGACTAGATAGAGTCAGAGATGAGAGAGAGAGACAGTGAGTTCTTTTCTTCCTGCCTATTGGAGCTATCTATGGTCTACATTTTGTGAACCCACAATGCATCCATCCAGAAACCTAAATCCAGTCACTTACATTCTCTTTCTAATTTGGGTTTTTTCCTCTAGGGCAAAAAATATAGGCTCTGCTTGTTCAGGCTTCAGGATAATGTACCAGGGCAACAGGATAAAATCATGTTGCCCCTAGTAAATCAGGATGCTGAGCAACCTTGACACCACCTATTTCTCATCTAGTTTTGGAATGAGGACTTTCATAAAGCTCTGTGCTACTGCATCTGTTTCTCTGCTGCTCACCTGAGGTATACTGGCTTTCATATACTGCTCTGCTTTGAGCAGGGGTTGAACTAGATAACCTCCTGAGGTCTCTTCCAACCCTAACTTTCTATGATTCTGTGATTCTGTTACTGGGCCCCATGCTTACTGTCCCTCAAGTATCTGATCACTTGTCAAAATCTTCACTGGTAACTACTCCATTTCTTGGAACTGATTCTTCCCTGAAGGATCCCTGCTTTAGGCAGCTCTCCAGCCTGCAGTAGATGATCTCTCAAACTAAGAACCCATTCTATCCCTTATTGAAGGTGTCATGGGTAAATCTTTATTTCCAGTACAGTACTTCTTGCTCTTTCTTGCTTTCAGGAAGCTGGCAAGATCAAGCCCCACAGCAGTGGTGGTGCTGAGTGATATCAAACTTGATGACCATTGAGGCTGAAGTCCTCTCACCCACTGCCTACCACTGTGACTGATTCTGAGGCTGGTAGACAGAAGAGAGGTCCATTCAGTCATTGGTCTCCTTGCTCTGACAATCTGACTGAGCATGGCTTAATCTCTAAAAACCTGATCCATTTGCATATCTGTCCTCCCTAGACATCTATTCCTCACCTACGCTAATGAGTGCACACAAACCAATGTCAGTATAATTTGGCCTAACCAGGTTCCAGCATAGCTGAACCAGACCCAACATAAGCAGAATCATAGCAGGCATTGTGCCAGTATATGCCCTATTCCCAGTATCAGCAGAGTGTAAGCAATAAGCATACCAGAGCCAGCACGTGTCTGGGCCCCAGACACTTGTGGCAGCTCCACCTCCGAAGCCATGCCATTCAGCTCCTTGTCACTATGAGAAGAAGCTGTGTAAAATTTGACATTTGTTTATTTTTTTAATAACCCTTTTATTACCTATTTTCCCCCTCTCCACATCTTGAAAGCTGGTTTACTCTCACAATTTGACTATAAAATATCCATAGCCATCCAGGCAAATCTTCCCTGGGAGAGTTCCCAGACACCGCTCGTTTATAATAGATATGACGAAAGAGAGAAACAGAATACAAATGGAGCATTTGTAGTCAGGGTATAAAATATTCAGTGACTAACAGAGCGGGGTGATGTTGAATATCTCTCAGCTGAGCAGAGAGCAGGGTGGAGGGGAGCTTCCCTGAGATTCTTCCCATTCCTCTTGATTTATTTGGCTATTGCTTTCTTCACCATCTCAGAATTGGCATCCCCCTGGTCCTCTGGCCCCAGGAGGTGCTGAGAAGCCAAGAGACAACGATTATATTTGGGGATCAGCTTTTTACAGTGCAGTATGGCTGTCCTTAGAGGCCATCAATGTCCTGTTTTAGATGGTTCCTTCTACTGGAAAAAAAGTGATCATCTCTTTCTCCTGTAGTGTCTTCTACCAGAGAATCTTTGTTTCACTTTACCAGCATGAATGAATTCACCTTCTACCCTCAGGAGGGGGTTCAGGACCATTAAACCCATTTAACAGTGAAGAAATCAGAAGCAAAGAGAAGAATCTTGCTTATACTTTGTCCCCTTGAGCCTCCCTGCTGGTGTAGGAATCGCACAGCCCTTGACTTGCTGGGTGCATCTACACATTGCCATACAGCGATGATGTTACTGCACCGTGCTTTAGTACTTCCTTTTGGAAGTACTAAAACACAGCGCACTAACTGTCTGTGCTGTGCTATACAGGTGGTACACGCTTAGATTTTGCAGCTACATCACCATAGCAGCACGGTCCCAGTTCCCAGCTATTGTATGCCACTATGGTGACGTAGCTAGTGATCACGTGTAGACCTGCATGATTGCTACATCTCCATAGTGTGCTGTATGGCAATGTAGCACATTGCTGCATCACCATAGGGTGACGTGTAGACATGCCCGCTGATGGCTAAAATTCAGAGAACAGGCTTATTTTCTTGGATCTGTCAACCTCTGTCAAACTCACAGACAAATTAAAAGAGTTATTGCTCCAATCCACCTCTGGCTGGGATCTTTGATTCCACAAGTTAAGAAAAGTCTGGCCTTCTTACCAGCAGATGGGATACCTCCAAGGAAGATGGGATGAGTTACTTAAGGAAGCAACACTAGTGATGCATCAATACACCTTCAGCTTAGTCTTAAGACTAAGTCACACAAAGTGGTGAGGAAGGGAACCTCCCCCCCCTCCCACCTACACCCCTTTTGTATTAACAGGTCTACAGCACCTTGAGCAGAGTGGAAGAGGATTGTATTTAGACTCCCTAGTGCCACTTAGATGCCTAATAGGAGGAATAGGATCTGCCCCAGTGTGTGGGTGCATCTATATGAGACATTTACTCAGAGTAGACTAATTAGCTCCACAGTAAATGTCTTATTTACATGTGGCCCTTTTAGGCTGGTGTAAACTAATAAACTCCACAGCACATTAAGGCCGGTGGAGCAGCCCAAGGCTGGCAGGCTGACCCCCCAGGTTCCCTGCCAGCTGGGTCTGCTGTGTCCTAGCTCAACATGCTGTGGTCCTGGGCATACATTCAAATGGTGTGCCCAGAAGCAATAAACTCCAATGCAAGAAGCACCAGAGTTTATTGCTCCGCCCTAGTTGCATGTGTAGATGCTCCCTGGTAGTAGGCAGTGCTTACTACAGTGATGGGTGCTGTTGAAGTAGCTAAGTACATAGACAGTTGTGCTGCTGG